CTAGCCGGGTAATGAAACATTTGCAAGAAAACAACCAAGCTCAGAGAACCCCAAGGATTCCGCATGAGCCCTCCTAGTCTAGGAACGGGTGCAACTGGTACACAAGTTCAATTTGTGCAAAACCTCTGGGAGACATGGTGGTCGCTACCTGCTCATCAAGCAGGAGTCATGACTCCTCAAACTGCACACCAGGTCTATCTGGGGTAGTGCAGCCCAACCAGAATCAAAGATGGAAACTCACTGGATCTGGGGTGGCCCCAATTTCGACACCCACTTGGTCTTGCTATGGTTGAGTCTGAGCCTGTTCTCCCCATTCAGATCACTATAGCCTCCAGACACTGAGAAAGAGCCTCAACAGTATTGCTTGACTGGCCTAGAGTTGAGAAATATAACTGGCTATAGTCAGCATACTGATGATACCTAACTCCAACTGATGATTTTACCCAGCAGTCTCATGTAGATGTTAAACAGGAACGGGGAAAGAACTAAGTCCTGGAATATTCCACGAAACAAGGACCACTCCTCCTATCAATGTTGACTGGAACCATCCCCAGAGAAAAGAGGAGAACCACTGCAACATTATGCCTCCCACTCCCTGATATCATAATCAGTGGTATCGAAGGCCACCAAGAAATCAAGGAGGGCAAGGATGGATGCATGACTCCAATCTCAGCTCTGCCAGAGGGTTATCAACAAGTATGATCAATGCTGACTCAGTATCGTGCCCAAGCCTGAAACCTGATAGAAAGAGATTCAGATAATCAATTTCTTCCGGAATCCTCTGAGGTTGCAGCCCAACCACCAAAAAGGGAAGATCGGAGACAGGTCAGAAATTATCTGACACAGGTGGGTTCGACAATGGCTTCCTGAGGAGGGGGTGGACCACTGCCTCTGTAAATGCAGGCAAAACAATTCCATTCCTCAAGAATGAATTACCGTATTTTTCCATCTATAAGAAGCCCCCATATATAAGACGAACCCCACTTTTCCAACCCCAAATTAAGAAATCAATATTTTAAAGATAAAGCAGAACACAC